GCTCATTCCCTCACAGGGAGGCTGCTCTGCTATTACTCAGCTCTAGCCACATATCTTCCTTAAACAGGTCTGATGTCTGTTCTGGCATCCTTTTTTGTTGTTGGTGGTGGTGGTGGTGGCTGTGGGGCTTGAACTCTGGGCTTGGGTGCTGTCCCTCAGCTCTTCAGCTCAAGGATAGTACTCTACCACTTGAGCTACAGCGCCACTTCCCGTTTTCTGGTGGTTTATTGGAGATAAGAGTTCATGGACTTTCCTACCCGGGCTGGCTTTCCGGGCTGGCTTTGAACCCTGATCCTCAGATCTCAGCCTCCTGAGTAGCTAGGATTACAGGTGTGAGCCACCGGCGCCCGGCTTGTCCTGGCATCCTTTCACCTGGAAGTCTGTAGATGTTCCTTCCAGACTTTTCTCCTCTTAGCACTAAGCACCAAGCCTCAGCTGTTATCCAAGAATCAGCCTTCTAGATGGTTTCTGCCCCAAATTCTAGACTTCACTGAAATATTCAGAACTTGTCCCTGTGGCTACTATAAAATTACTTTTAAGCATTTATTTTTCCAATGATATCAGGTCAAAAATGATCAGGAGCTGCAAGAGATTCTCTCAAGAGTTGAGAAATTTCCAAGTGCCTACCCACTGTGGCTCTGGGGAAGCAAAGCACGCTTAGTAGTCTATGACCCCGACTATATGAAGGTGATTCTGGGGAGATCAGGTGAGAGTTAAGCCCTTCCCACCAACCATAGATTTTCCACTCTTAACACATACCCTGAATCTGTGAAATTACAGAAAGAAATAGCAGTTCAGCTAGCTGTGTCTAAATAACTGCCTATCATTATTTTCTTGAAGCCACAATCTAGCATATAGCACACAGTATTTACTTATGTGCTTACAATTTATACAGTAAAACAGAAATGGGGCTCAACTGTTTTCTTTATCTTTTTAAACTAAATTAAAGTAACCAATTATGTAGATTGCCTCATATAAGAGAAACAAACATATCCACATTGACTTGGATGTGTAAAGTCTGATTGTCATAGACCTGGGTCATGAATGACAACCTCACCACCCACTATAGAAAAGCCTCAAAATTATTTTTTATTTTTTAGCACTGAAGACATGGTTTATGTTTCTTACCAACTTACCATCCCATTTTTGGGAGTGTCTAGCATCTGGAACATGAGGCCATCTTCTTGAGTCTAGCTGACTATCATGATAGAGACAGATGAGGTTAGGTGGGCAATGGGAAGTAACATGGGAAAAGCAAGCTGTCAACTGACAATAATAAAAATTTCATATCTGGGATTCTAGCTGAGGTGTGGGAACAAAATTTTTGGAGTGAATTATCAATGTGTATGTAGAGAGTAAAAGAAATCTCAATGAAAATTATTAATAGAGGATTGCAATGGAAAAACAGAAGAGAGGGTTATTCAGAGCAAAATATAACATACATATGCATTTCTGAAATAGTAGAGTAAAACCAGTTGATACAATTAATATACACTAAAAATAAAAGAATGACAGGGGAGTAAAACAGACTCTGAGGGTAGATACCAGTAGGGCTAGGGAAGATTAACAAAGATGGTGAATGAGGATAAATATGGTTAAAGTACTTATTTTGCATTTGAAAGCAGAATAATAAAACATTTTGTTTTAAGAGAGGAAAGGAGGTCAGAGAGAATGAGAGAGGGTGAATTTGATAAGATTAGAGTGAAAGAATTTTTAGAAATTTCCCAATAAAACCATACTTGTGCAATTTACATACTCTAATTTGTCAAAAAAAAATACAAGCAGACAAAAAATATATCATGTCTGCCCCTGGTCAGAACATCAGTGCCTCTAATCCTATTATTTCCCCTTGTTTCCAATTAATAACTCTCACTTACTTTTCAGACCTGAAAGCTCATGGTATCTATAAATTCGTGGCTCCATGGATTGGTAAGTATATCTTAACCAGAGCTATGGTCACGCCTCAGGTTAACCAAATACTATCACTTGACCTTACTGAGAACAAAAGATTATCACTGTCAAGACCAACCCTTAAATAAAAATTCCATTTTAATACTTCTACCTTGACCTTTACTTTAAAAAATAATTCTGGCATGAGGTCTCCTAAGCCTCAGCCTCCTTCTACATTTCTTCCCAGTGACTCCTAAACATGCTCAGCCTGATAGTTACTGAAGGCCCTTCCTGATCTGCCCTCAAGTATCTCCAGCCTTTATCGACAACTGTTTTAATCATATCAGATATACAAGTACAACTGGAAGATTCACATTTCTGAAAGGTACTGCTTATTTCCTTTACCCAGGAATTTCTGTCTTCTGATCCACCGCCAGCACGCTCACAATCTATTTCTCTCATATCACCCTGTTGCTACTCCGCTTCCCTTTCTCACACACTCAAGCCCATATCCATCTTCTGTCCAGGCTATGGTTTGCTCCTGCTGAATGGACAGACATGGTTCCAGCACCGGCGGATGTTGACTCCAGCTTTCCACTATGACATCCTGAAGCCCTATGTGGGAATCATGGTGGACTCCGTTCAAGTAATGCTGGTGAGTCTGTCTCTTTCATGTCCACACACCTACTCACAAAACACACTCATAAAGCTGGACACCTATGGCTCACACCTGTAATCCTAACTACACAGGAGGCTGAGATCTGAGCATCGAGGTTCAAGGCCAGCCCAGGCAGGAAAGTCTGTGAGACTCTTATCTCCAATAACCATTAGAAAACCAAAAGTGGCATTGTGGCTCAAGGGGTAGAGCACTCGCCTTGAGCTGAAGAGCCCAGGGACAGTGCCCAAGCCCAGAGTTGAAGCCCCATGACAGACAACCCCCCCCCTCACTCATATTCCATTCTCTAACACAGAAACCATCAGACATAATCACAGAAATTAACACTATCAAGCCAATTGCAGTAATAAGTGCAACAGAAAGCATCCAGGACCCAAGACTGAGCCAAATTGCTCATTGTCCTACTCAGAAGGTATCACAGTAGATACAGGCCCCCTCCTTCCTTCTCAGCTCAGCAAAGTGGGGGAATAGAAACTCCCACCAAAAGCAAGCTACCTGTCCCTGCTGGACTGGGAAATGACCGCATCAGTGGCATTGGGAGCTTCAAGGGTGTCACTCAATCATCAGGGCCCCAGAGCTTCTGAATGGCCATGCTGACCCATACATTGAGATGGACACAAGGCCTACATTGCCACAGACAAATCTACCTCACAGTCACTTCCAACCTGGCAGTGTTCTGTAAGATTATGATGAATGAAAAAATTGGAGTCCAAGACAGCCAACAATAGGATTGCTCCTGCAGGCCAAGCAGGCTTTCTTTACTAATTAAGAGAAGGGAGCCTTTTTTGAGTTAATATTTCTGTAAAAATTATTTTTTTTCTTGGTCCTGGGGCTTGAACTCAAGGCCTGTGCACTGTCCCTGAGCTCTTCTGCTCAAAGCTGATGCTCTACCACTTTAAGCCACAGCTGGAAGTCCAGTTGTCAGGGTGTTAATTGGAGATAACTGTCTCTAGATAATAGGCTTGATTCCACCTGTGACCCGCAGATCTCAGTCTCCTCACTAGCTAGGATTATAGATGTAAGCCACCAGTATCCAGTTAATTGATGAATTTTATAAGGCTAATCCATTTTCAGAGAACAGGTCTTAAAGCATGCCGTTTGACTAAAAGACAGATTTCTAGAAATTAGTTACACAAGTGATAGAGCCATCGGAGGAGAGAAGAAGATTAAGTATCTCAATTTTTAGCTAGAAATACGTACAATCCAGGTATTTGGTTTTCTTTTATTTTTGAAATTTAATTACATGAATTTAATTACAGGTGAATTAGTATGATTTATATTCAAAGTATGTTTCTCTGTGCTATGCTAAGGGGAAGGAATACAGAGATGTTTGCTTCTGTCCTTGACTCAGGGACAAGTACAGCAAGTTATTCAGAACTATAAACCTGTGTGCAAGACAGACCTCATTCCTTCATTCCTTCACACTCATTCATTCATGAGCTTCTTGTGGAACATCCCATAATCGGGCACTATGCACAGTCTTTGAATAAAGGATGGAGCCGTGGGTGTCGCAGAGGGGGAGGAACAAGTGGCAGAAGGGTGAGGGCCAGATAGTCATTGGCTTGAGCCTTTATAATGTGCAGGCAGAGGTGGAGGGAGTCTTTTATCAATGACCTCAACATGAGATGTGGTAGGAAGTGGGCCTGGGAAGGTAAGATGGGGTGTGGAGGCAGCAGTCCAGAGAGGGTGGAACACTATCTTTTGTAATGGGTGGCATGGGAATGTCAACGTGGAGGGAAGGTGGTCATGGAGACCAGAGCAATATGGGAGAGGAAATTGAAAGTGACAAGAGGAGATATTTCTGGAGCAGAATTAGATAGCTTTGGGTTTGGATGCTGGCGGACTGAGGGAGGGAGGGAGAATCAGATCATCTGCACCTGAAGAATTCTTGATCCAGAGCTTCTCTCATGAGCTACTCTACTCCTCTATGAGTGCTCTGTAGGGATGGATCCTAAGTCCTTTGCTCACACAGAATGTAAGCACTGGATCATATTACTGACCAGTAGCATCTACATGGGGGAACCAAACAACTGTAGGAGAAGGAGTGAAGTAACAATTACTTCACTCTAAAATAACAATAGTAATAGATTCTGTCAGTTTGAGACTATCTCTGTCCTAACAGTCTTCGTGTCTATCAGAGTAGGATTCAAACTTAGCTGTTTAAAAAGATGTGGCAAGTCAAGAGAGTATGAATGAAGGCTTGGGGGTAGAAGTGTATGTATGTGTGTGTGTGTGAGAGAGAGAGAGAGAGAAAGAGAGAGACAGAGACAGAGACAGAGAGACAGAGAGATCTGTAAGGAGACAGATGAAGTCAGGCTCAGGAAAGAGGACTCTGAATGTCCAACTCTAGGTGGAGATTCAGGAGCCCATGTCTGACCAGCTCAGAACAGGTTCTGAGACCCCCATCTTCTTTCATTGTCTCTCCCTGGCCCAGGAACTACATTGGGAAACAATTTGCCATGAATGAGATGAAGGTGGCCGTGGCTCTGACCCTGCTCCGCTTTGAGCTGCTGCCAGATCCCACCAGGGTCCCCATCCTCATCCTTTGACTTGTGTTGAAGCCCAAGAATGGGATCCACCTTCATCTTAGGAAACTCAGCTAATTCTACAGGGGACAAGAATTTCTGTCAACTTTCTGCCTGCATTGCCTTCCTGTCACCAGCTCTTATCCATAGCCTATCTATCTATGTCCTACTTTCTCTTCCCACTTGCCCTCCTTCCAGCCTGCTTGACAGTCTTGCTTCTAGTTTGTCTTCTTGGCTTTCCTTTTCTCTCCTACCTTTGTCCATGATCCCTACCTGCGAGGCAAGCTATCTTTCCTCTTCCTACCTGCCTAAGACTATTCATATAGTCCCCGATCACCTCACTCACTGACCTCAGACCTATCTGCACCTGAACATATTGTTTCCCTTTCTGCTGCTTATCTGAGGTGAGCTTTTCTGCGTAAGTATCTGAAGTATTAACTGCTTCATAATAAATTACAACCATGTTTGTGACAGAAATTTAGTCTTTTGTGGTTGCAGGGCCACAATCATTAGGGCTATTGATATGCTTTTTCTTTTTTTCCATTTCCATTATCTAAAGCTGCATTTCTGGAGTTTGGGATGCTTTAATAGTCAAATGTGGCAGCTCCTTCAAATCTCCTCATTTCTGCTTTACAATATTTATAATGATGTTTTTGATTACATTGTGCCTACTGTGATAACACAGATCATAGTGAAATATGGATACTGGGTCTAAGTGGTGCCATCTTGGCATCTTGGTATATGAAGGGGACTTCTGAAAACTCTTACAGGTGAAATCCACTTCCCCACCACCACCCCCAGGTGACTGGCTCCTGAATTCCTAGAAACATGGGTGGTTGTTAGGAAATAGGTTCCTGGACCTGCCAGACCTGTACCGTGAACTCACAAGACTCTGAACTCTACCTGGGACCCTGTGATCCTGTTTGCCAAACATGACCCTCTTTTTTTTTGGGAGGGGGGGGTCGGGTCATGGGGCTTGAACTCTGGGCCTAGGCGCTGTCCCTCAGCCCTTCAGTTCAAGGCTAGCGCTCTACCACTTGAGCCACAGCGCCACTTCCGGCTTTTTTCTTTTTGCTTATGTGGTGCTGAGGAATCAAACCCAGGGCTTCAGGCATGCAAGGCAAGTGCTCTACCACTGAGCCACCTTCCCAGCCCAAACATGACCCTCTTTAGGACCCTTGATCCCTACCTCCAGGATTATGACTTTATCTAGGGAAGTCATTATGCATCCTAGTTTAGTTTCTACATGATGGTCACCTAACCTCTCCATCTCCCTCCTCCACCCCTCTTCTGAAAGGTCTTTATATACCTGACAGTTTCTCACATAAGCTTCTTCAACTTCTCTCCTCCTTGCAATAAGTTCACAACATAAAATGTACCTGTCTTCTCTTGGATTGAGATAAGGGGGAGAGAGAAAGATAGAGGTTCGGAAAGACAGAAGATATGTCTCTTCTGAAGAAGAAGTACATGCTATTTGCCTTGAGTACCAGGACTCCATGAGTGCTATTTGGCCCACATGATTCAAGAGAACTCACCCATGTGACCCCTGATGCCCCATACCCACCCAGCTGCTACAGCGCCATATATCTAAGTTTGAACAAAAGGCTCTGCTAAGGTCTCAAAGGAAGAAATTCAAACCACTCAGGGGAAACCACTGGCTTCTAGTCCACTCCAAGGCTAACATTTTTTCACATTAATATTTTAAGAAGAGCTCCAAGCTAGAGACTGTCTTGAGTGGATCCTGAGGAGAGACTTCAGGTGTGGTCTGTCATAAAAGCCTTGGGGATCCTACAACCCCACATTTCACAACCCCAATAAGAATGAGAAGAGATGCCAGCCTGGCCATGTGACCAGTCACCTATCAGCTTTCCTGACATATATACTGCCTGAAAATTCCACATAAATCTCAAAGAATGAACCATGTCTAAAAGGGCTAGAAGAGCTCAAGTGGGCAAATGGGTCTAACTGGTAGATATCAGATCTTAAGCAGCAACTTAGGACATAGGACATCCCTTAGCAGAGAGGGTGAAAAAGACAAATATAGTCAGTGTACTTGATGTACATATATGAAAACAGAGGTGACTGGGATCAAGATGCATTGTATGCATGAAGGGACATTTTAGAAAGAACCCTCCCCTTGTACAACTAGTTGGTGCTAATTAAAATAACATTAAATATAATTTTTGTGCTGGAGTCCTGGTTCAATGGGAGATTTCTAGCCTGACAAACACAAGACACTGAGATCAAATCCCAGTATCACTATTACTACTAATATTAATAATATGTTTAGGAAAATATTAAAATATTTTAAGATTATCTTGCCCATGTAATTGTAACTCCTCTGTACAGTATTTTCACAATAAAAAAAGAAAAAATAAATAAAATAAAAATAAAAACAGTATCAAGAGAAAACACCAGATTTCTTTCTGTGTGTTCTTGTTTTCAAAAAGTGATGTTAATTTTAATGAATTTAGCAAAAGGATAATGATCCTTTTTTCAAAAATGTTATTGTTATTATAAAGGTAATTTACAGAGGGGTTACAGTTACAGAAGTCAGGTAATGAGTACATTTCTTTTTAAGTCATTCTTTTAAATTAAAGATACAGCATTTATTACTTGTGTTTCTATGTTTTTGTCACTTGTGTTAAAAGGTACTATGGAAATTTTGAAATATGGTGATTAATTTTAGGTTTTTGAACTCTATTTAAATTAATATTAAAAGTAAAATATTTTGTGGTCCAGTTGTGGGGCCTGAACTCTGGGCCTGGGCACTGTCCCTCAGCTCTTCAACTCAAGGCTAGCGCTCTACCACTTGAGCCACAGCGCCACTTCCGGCTTTTTTTTTTTTTTCTTTCTTTCTTTCTTTTTTTTTTTTTTTTTTTTGCTAATTTGGTGCTGAGGAATCGAACCCAGGGCCTCATGCATTGCAAGGCAAGCACTCTACCACTGAGCCACCTTCCCAGCCCATTATTAAAAGTAAAATGTATGGTTGCAAATTGCGCGTGTACGTGTGTGTGTGTGTGTGTGTGTGTGTCTGTGTGTCTGTGTGTCTGTGTCTGTGTATGTGTGCCAGTACTGAGGCTTAAACTCAAGTCCAAGGCATAGTACCTTAGCTTTTATACTAAAGGCTGGTGTTCTGCCACATGAACTACAGCTGATTTCTAGCTTTTTCATGATTATTGGTGTAAGAAGCTTATGAACTTTTCCTTCCCAGGCTGGCTTCAAACTATGATTCTCCTAAATAGTAGGGTTACAGGTCTGAGCCATAGGCATCCAGTGGCTATATATTGCCTTTTCTTCTAATAATTACATACGAACAAATTGAATGAATGGCAGAAAGCCACATTATGGTACTTATGAAGGTTATATTCCAAGTTACCAAGTACAGGTTTAAAACCACAGCTAATATTTAGCCCTATATCTGCTATACCATATCTGCCCTATACCTACACCCTTACTGATAGGAATCTGCTTTGTTCTCAAAACTCAATGTTGCTCCCGTGGCAAAATCCCCTTCCCCCAAGGGATCTTCCCAAAAGTCTCCAGTCCATTCTCTAGCCCAGAATCGTAAGCTAAATATGAAAGCCCATTCCCCTTCCCTGTCAGGTGATAGGTGCTGGAGAGAAGGGGCAGGAGACTTGCTCAAACAATAAGTTCCTAGAGCCAGACTTTCACCATAAACCCGAGGCACTCTTTGAACCCTCAAGCTACCCGTGACTCTGCCCACCACCCATTACCCTACTTAAGTCCCTCCACCCCTACTGCCTTTACACCTGGTGTCTCCTGATTCTCCTCAGGTGACCATGGCATCCCTCTTCAACTTTCTATTAAGGTTCATCTGGTCTGTTGTATTTGCTTCCTTTTCTTTCTTTATTCTAACACTCTCATGATTCAGTCTCCTAACACTTATGGCACAGTTTGTAAGTGAAAACAATGATAGAATATACATTGTATAGCCCGGTGCTGGTGGCTCATGCAGTAATCCTAGCTACTCAGGAGGCTGAGATCTGAGGATCATGGTTCAAAGACAGCCCAGGCTTAAATGAACCCCAAGATAGGGATACAAGTGTTTTTTTTTTCTTTCTTGCTATTGTTTCTAACATGTTTGTAAGGTACCATGTGCTATTTTTGTTGTTTTGTATGTTCCTCCTCCACGGTATAAGCCCTGTTTTCACTGTATTTGATGCTGGTATAATTTGAGGAGGGGAAGGGAAAAAACAAGCTTTTTAAATAGGGATATAGGTTGGCCCATTGCAAAAATGAGATGTACAAAACACCATGTTGAAAACCGAACTTTACAATTTAGGCAGGGGTGGGGGGGGGAAGGAGGGTAGGAGTGTAGTCGTGGAAGTGGAAAGGAAGGGATGGTAGGGAAAAAACAAAGGAGGAGGCAACAATGCTTGATAAGAGATGTACTCATTATCTTGCTCTTGTAACTGTAACCCCTCTGTACAATATTTTCACAATAAAAACATTAAAAAAATAATAAGGCTAACAAATGAAAGAACCAAAGTCGGAACAATTCTCTTCAGAAGTGAGATGACCTCTAGGTGGTGATACACATGCTTCATGGATACAGTAACAGAAAGGAATATTCACATCCTAGCAGGATGGTTCAGAGTTTCATCATAACATGCAGAAGGACGCTCAATTTAAAACTTGTTTGTAACTAGAATTTTCCACTTAATATTTTTGGACTGCTGTTAAGTATAGTAGGTGAAACCATAGAAAGCTCAACTATGAAAAATAGGGACTTACAATACACTCAGGAATCTAAAGAATTAGTACTTTAATGTACTTTTAGTCCTCCTCCCTACAAATGTTTAGTTTTCAGTAAGGAGAAGCAGATGTGAATTGTTACTGGATAAGGAATTTTTTACCATAAAGAAAATGATTGATACAATGCAAACTTAATTTCCATACTTCTCCCCCAAAGCTATTGGAATATCAATTCTTTTATGGTACATGATACATACATCAGTGGTTCCTTGGCACTAGGTAAGAGCTCCATCTCGTGATCTTTCTTTAAGATCACCTTTGTGATCTTTTAAGTGAACAATTTACAATAGTCTAGAAATTAAATATAAATTTAATACTAAACTCATACTTTTATCTTTTTTTACACATGAGAAAGCTCCAGGTCATACAGCATTAAAATATTTAAATACAGTATTGCTTAAATCCTATTTTTGTATTTATTATTTATTTATTGGCAGTACTAGGCTTTGAACTCAGGTTTTTCAGCTTGCCAGACAGGTGATTTACCACTTGAGATATACTTCCAGCCCTATTTTCTTTTAAATTTTAATTTTTTAATTGAAGGAGTGATGAGCTGGGGGGTTACAGTTACATAGGTAAGGCAATAAGTACGTTTGTTTTAAATCATCATTATCCTGTCCCTCTTTATCTCCCATTTACCCCTCCTTGTCTCCCCCAGTTGTAATGTTCATATCCTACATAGTGTCAAGTGAGTATTAGTGTTGCTGTGGTTCATCTGCTGTTCTGCTGTTCTGTGATTCCCTTTCCCTTTCATGTATTGTGTTGTCTATTATACAAAACACGAGATACAAAAAACTAAGAGAAATGAAGAAAGAAAAAAACAATAAAGATAAACTATATACGGGGGTCTAATAAGAACCTCTTCTTTCCATAAGTTGTAGTTCATGTTAATATGCTTCATTATACATAGTCCTTTGCATTAAACACTTGAGTTATTGAGATCTTCTATTAAGAATATCATATACATATTCTAGTTCCTACAAATGAGGGAGATCATGCAACCTGCTTTTCTTTGGGTCTGGCTTTCTTCACTTAATATAATTTTCCCAAGTCTTTCCATTTCCCTATGCATGGAACAATGTTATTCTTTCTGATGGAAGCATAGGATTGCATTGTGTATATGTTCCACATTTTCTTGATCCATTCATCTACTGAGAGGCATTTGGGTTGGTTCCATATCTTGGCTATCCTGTCTATTTTCATAGTATTTTATTTTAATTTAAACACCTATGACTTGTGTCCTTTGGTGTGGATCAGTGTAATATTTCCACACATGTATATAGCCTGCACTAATAAAATCCAAACTCCCTTCATCTATAACACTCACCCACATACCTAACAATCTAATAACCTGGCAATCATTATTCCATATACAGATGGAAATTTTAGTCTCTACATATGACAGACAACAATTTTTTCTTCTCTGCCTCTATCTGGCTTATTTCACTTAACATAAGGTTCCATATTTCTGTCCATTTTGTTGACTGGATTCAGTTCCTTTTATGGCTTAAAACTATGAGGATGTGCATATAAACCACATTTTTCTTAGTCATTCATCTGTTGATTGGAACTGAAGCTATTGCTTAGCTATTATGAATAGTGCTGCAATAAACATGGTTTGTGCAGGTATCTCTTTGGTACACAATTGCATTTCTTTTGGATGTATATATATATATATATATATATATATATATATATATATATATATATATATGTAAACATATAGTATGGATCATGTGGTAGTTCTCTTTTTAATTCTCTGAAGACCCTTCATACTATTCTTCACTAATAACTGCTATAACTTACAATAAAAAAGAATTTCTAGCTGGGCGCCATTGGCTCACACCTATAATCCTCCTTACTCAGAAGGCTGAAATCTGAGATCACGGTTTGAAGCCAGCTTGGGCAGGAAATTCAGTGAGACACTTATCTCCAATTAACCACCAGAAAATCAAAAGTAGAGCTGTGACTCAAAGTGGTAGAATGCTAGCCTTGAGCAAAAGACCTCAGAGACAGAGACCAGGCACTGAATTCAAGTCCCATGACCAACAACACCAAAAGAATTTCTTTTTCTCCACATCACCAACATGTCTGGGTTTATTATTATATTTTGTTTTGTAATAGTCACTCTAATGGGTTGATATAAAACTTCAGTGTAATTTTGAAAGACATTTCTCTGAAAGATAATTTGTTCAGGGATTTTTTTTTTTAATCACAAAGGAGTGTAAATTTCCTTTAGTTGCTTGTTTTTTTCTTATTAAAATGTTGCACACAGGGGTCATAATTTCATAAGTCAGGTAATGAGTACATTTCTTTTTTGACAATGTCAACCTTTCCCTCGTTCTGTCAGTTTTTCCATTCCTTCCCTGCCCATGTTATGTAGTTCATTTTCAACATAGTTTCTGCTAATATGATTGCTACTTTTGTTCATCCTATATCCCTCCATTTTTGTGACCCTTTTACCACTCCCCCAAGAAAGAAAAAATAAACAAGACAAAAAGGAAAAAAAGAAAGAAAAAAATTAAAAACCATTTTTATTTTCTGGATTTCATTTCTATAAATATTATTTTATAGGATTAGCAGCATGGAGGCACGGTCCCTTTGTGTTCCTCCCCTAATTGGATTTTTCTTTGTTGTTGCTTTTGGTCCCTCTTCTTTTTCTCTTGTTTGTTCACTTATCTGTCTTTGAGGGGGACTGTAATGGGTGCACAGAAATGGAGTTACAAAGGGTGAACAAATGGAAGTGATGTTGTGGCTCAAGTGGTGGAATGCTTCCCTGGAGATGATGAGCTGAGGGATAGCTCTTAGGCCCAGAGTTCAAGCCCCACGACTGACAAAAAAAAAAAAAAAATAAAGTCAGGTGCCAGTGGCTCATGCCTATAATCCTACTCAGGAGGCTGAGATCTGAGGATTGCAGTTCAAAGCCATCTGGAACAGGCAAGTCTGAGAGACTCTTATCTCAAATTAACCACCAGAAAACCAGAAGTGGCGCTGTGGTTCAAGTGGTAGAGTGCTTGCTTTGAGCTGAAGAGATGAGGGACAGCGTTCAGGCCCAGAGTTCAAGCCCCATGACTGACCAAAAGAAAAAAAAGGTGAACAAATGCAGCAGTGGTACTCAGTAGACACTATGTTTAAAATGACCTATACAATTTGTAGGTAGGGACAGAAGGAAAAAACTGGAGGAGAGCATGGGAAGGGGGGACATAGTCCAAAAAAGTACTTACTACCTGACTTCTATAACTATCACTTCTCTGTACATCACCTTCTATATATGAGAGAAAACTTACACCTCACCTAACATGCTTTGTTCTAGGTCCATCCATTTCCCTGCAAATGACATAATACTATACTTTCTAATGTCTGGGTAAAATTCCATTATGTATAGGTACCACATTTTTTTTTTAAAAAAACCCACTCATCTATTGTAGAACATCAGGGCTGTTTCCATAACTTGATTACTGTGAATAGTGCAGCAATGAACATGGATGTGCAAGTGTCTTCACAGTATCCTGGCTTGTGAAGTTCTGGGTAGAGGTCTAGGAGTAGTATGACTGGGTTATAGGAAAGATCTATGTTTAGAAACCTCCAGCCTGCTATCCAGACTGGTTGTAACTAGTTTACATTCCCACCAACAGTGCAATAGGGTTCCTTTTTCTCTACAACCCCACCAAATTGGTTTTTTGAATTCTTGATGTTGGTAATCTAACTGGGGTGAGATGGAGTTGTTTGGGTTTTTATTTCCTTCATGGCCAGGTATGTGAGCATTTCCTCATATGTGCCTTTATCATTTTTACCTCTTCTGAGAAGTCTCTCCTTGAGACCTTAGCCCATTTAGTTAGTGATTGGATTATTAGCTTTGAGAGGGGTTAGTTTCTTAAGCTCCTTTATATTTTGGATATTAGTTTCTTGTCAATAGTATTGCTGTTAAAGATCTCCTAGTTGATTGGCTGTCTTTCTAGTTTAGTACCTATGTCCTTTGCTGTGCAGAAACTTTAAATTTTGAGGTAATCCACTTGTGAATTTGCCTATCTGCTGTGCCCATGTGACTCTTTCTAAAAGTTTCTGC